CGCTGACTTATTCCACCATTTGCTTGACCAACTATCCTTCCTCTAACAAAATCTGACAATTCGAGAGAACCTTGAGTTCTAGGCATGTTGTAGCAAAAGGTAATTAGTGTGCGGACCATTTTCATTTACATAGTGCTCTGTAAACACAAATTAGTTAGCATAAATCAGTTAAATGATGAAAAATTAGGTGTCTATTTACTTGTAACCACTCAGTGTATAAGCATAATTTTTACAGCACAAAAATAGGGTGTTCGGTCGAACCACCCCTACGTACATGCGAGAATAACTACTTTTCGTGTAGATAGTAGAGTACTTTACTTTAATAAACATGCATATTTACGCAAATTTAAGACTAGCTCTCCATTTTATGTGAATAGCCACGCACTTGTTTAAGCTATATTTCAGGGAAAATTGTTTTACATATTTTTTGTGGGGTATGCATCCAGACCCCCATAACATTAGCATGCTTTGCATGCTGATTGTTCTTAGCATAAAATATGTTGGCTTTTGAGCCCACTAATTAGAAATCCTTTTTCAAATATTCTGCGTATGGGCCTGATAAGGTAGGGAAAACCTGGTCAAACGTTTGGGCTAAATTTGTAAAAGGCAAAATTTCGAGTAATATTCAGAAAACTGGGTACTTTACAAATATTTCAAGCTTTATGATCGAAAATATTCCATGATAACCAAATGAAATATTGGGTTACAGCAAGTTCGCATTTATTATAACAAGTTATTTATGAATTTTACTTTTCACAAATAATTTCACCGCATTCATTCACATTTCGGTTCAATCCAATTGAAACTATATTGGTCAACAGAAGCGTCGCTAGGTGCTTAAAAGATTCGAGGCTCGGGTCCGTATACGCGGGAATTTTTGGCTTTTCAATGTGATATTGATCATGGTTCTCTATTCTGATTCTTCAAGACACAAACTGGGGATATGAAACACTGTCAAATAGAATCGGGGCACGGGCCCAGTGTGCTAATGCCTATAGAATATAGGCTGGCTGACACTCGCAAAATACAGGTTAGTGTATGTTTTCCTGAACAGCTCTTACTTTCATCTCTCTTTCCCATGAACAAATGCACCTGATACCATAGATCAGGATTTATTAACCTATTGCATTTGAAGACTTACTTAGTTATTTGACACAATAGTAAAGACCCAAATATGCAGTTTATGACTAGTTAGTTAAGGCAGTCACAGTAGCCCCCCCGGAGCACAGAGGTATGTCTGCGGACTTACAACGCTAGAATCCGGGTTTCGATACCCATGGTGGGCAGAGCACAGATAACTCAATGTGTAGCTTTGTGCTTAACTTCAAACAAACAAACAAGCAGTCACAGTAGTCCCAGCCCGCAGAGGCCCATAACCGCGTGTCTCACGTCTTACTAGTGGGCTGCAACCCATCCGTTGAGAATCACTGCCCTAGACATATGATCTAGTAAAATAGATAACTAGGCCGAAAGGAATTGAACTATTTCCTTGACCAATGTTTTATATTTAAACTACACGCACCGTATGTACGAAAAGTTAAAAACAATTATATTACATAAGAGATAGAAAACATGTAGTATCCATGCATACTACACAGGCAAACAAATATATGAGAAATTACTAGAGCTAGACAGTTGTTGAAAAAATCTCCCACATTTTTTCAACGAGCCTGGTTTACAAAAACATCTCCTTACTAGTTTTATACTTTTAAGAAATTTCTTATTGTTATCTTGACTTACTCTTTTACCAACGAAAAATAGGATTAAATGTAACATTATAACGTCCCCACGGCTGAATGGGCGAGCATTTTCGGCGATTGGATTCGAACCCGCGACATATAGATTGGGAGTTCGAGCGCCCTAATCACCAGACCATCTCAGGCCAATTTGTTGTCATTAGTTACACTTTAGGTTGTTATAATAATAATAATAAGTAATATGATATACCTCTTCTATAGAGGACTCTGTTTACGAAGTTAGCACGTGTGTGTGTGAAAGAGAGACACTAACCTGTATATAGTTTTGAAAGTATTTTAAAATAATAATCACTGTTTTGAATGTTTCTTTCATCATGGGAAAATTAAGGAAACGCTTTAATTGGAAAGCCCGACAAGTAGTGAAAAACGACGAGACTAAAAATGATGCTAAAGATGAACAGGTACGGTTAGCGCTTGTCTTGTATTGCCTATGAGTATGACTCCTTTCAAACACAATTGAAAGTTAGGCCTAAACGCTAAAACTGGGTTTATTATATTGAATACTTAATAGCCCTATGCTTTAAAAAATATACCACGTGTTTCTTAAATATAGCAACTTTATTTATTTAAAATTTAACAAGTTCAGTTTTCAAATGGCTTTAGTTTTAGGGAGGGTCCATACTATTTTTTTTCAAAATTGTAATTTGTTTCAGTTTCGTAAGTAAATTTATAAGTTTTACGGTTTTATCAATATATCTAGTGCTTTATATACAAGTTATCAGACATTGACACAACTAGATAGTAATATTTACGCTTCTAGCAGTAAAAGATGTTTTTAACTGCCTTATACTTAAATTATAGTTACGTTAATTGGAAAATACATCTTAAAAGCATTATATAACAGATGTTATATGTGTACTAAACATGTGACAATCAACAATTACAAGTTTCATAAGAGAATTCAAAACCATACCTTGAAGTCATTGGCATTAAGTATTTGGCAAACATATCTATCAAAATTATGAAATTGTGATGATATTTTTATTATCTTAATTTTACTTTTAGTAGTTTCATGTAATAGTAATACAATAATTGTAGAATTGATAAATAGGTACAAAACAGGCATTGAGCCAGTAGTGGCATTTAAGTGTAAAGGGGGGGATGACATTTTGAAGACTGAGTGAGCGAGCTCTCCTTGAATGTAGAAACAATTTAGGCATGTTTGTTATTGATACCATTTAGTACCCATATACACAGTCATCATTGGCACTGCTGTATGCAGTAACATTACAGGCCTGTATAGTTTACAATCAGTGTAGAAGAGATGCAAGTGTAAAGAAAGATACACTTAGTGTGAAAACATTTATATTATTTTAAATATAATAGAATTAGCCACTCATAAATGCAGTAAAACTTACATAGCTTCCAAATTTGCCTTAAGATTTTAAAAAATATGTTTACAAACTACATTTCAAGTGACTTGCTTCAGAATAAAGCTGCCTCAAAAGTATATTTGTATCATCTATACAAATTTTGTAATACTGGATCTAATGTTATTTTGAAATCATGTATGTGTTTGTGTGTTATTGCAAAATGCTGTATATATGTTCACAGATTGAAAAAATTAAAATATAGAGCTCTGATCTTAAATGCAGAATTCAGATGAGATAACTATGATTGAGTTGATTTCCATTCTAGTTCATATTAGTGGTGTAATGTGAGGAAGCAGAGTTAAATAGTTTTAGAAGTAACACATTCAGTAAATAAGTACATGTAGCTCTATAAATTGTTTTGATTAAACTTTTATACACGTGTTGAATTGATAAAGGAGGTTCAGTGAAGAACTAATGGGATGATTCTAAGTTTGGAGGGGTTATTGTATGGGGATAGGTTGAATTCTCTCTGTTTTTTATGTTTTTTGTTCTGGGTGACCTAATGAAGGTTTTTAAGATTATGAGACTTGGAATCCATAAATTTGTAGGCAGTTAAGACTAAAAGGCATAAGTTTAAGATTTGACTTCAATTAAAATAATGTTATTTACTAATAGTGTGTTTAATCTAGTTTACCTACAGCCTTAGAGTATGGTGATAAAAATAGGAGAGCCTAAAATTGCCAAATGATCTTTTAAAAATTAAATTCTAACACTTCTCAACAGTGAGTTATATTGTAAAATGTAAAGAAAATACTTACTTTCTTCAGCTGCATATAGCACTTTTAAGTACCTCCTTGAATTGATTTATGTGAGTTTTTTTTTCACCAAAGCACCATAAGATGTATTTGATTATTCCTCCCTGCCTCTAAGTGAGAACTTCATTGCACTAACCTTGGAAGAAGAAATTCATAGAAAAATAGCAGAGATAGATAATTTGTTCACATTACTTAAAAAACATGTATTCAAATGTCCCTAGAGCAAAAATTCTGCCCCCCCCCCCCATTAAAGCCTTTTCTGTGTTTCAAATTACAACTTTAAGGAGCTGGTGTGGGCCAAGGGGTAGTTGTCTCGCTTTTCATCAGGCGACTGATGTATGGAATTCTTTTGATTAGAAAGGGTTAGACAAAAAAAAGCTCACCACCATGGGCTAGGACATAACATAATACAGACAACAAGAAACATCCTTCAAGGCTTTTTCCACAGACCCACCCTTGAAAAAAAGTAGAACTTAATTTTGCCCTTTATTTTTCAGGAAATTATTGATTACCATTGTGTACAGTCTCACTGGTGCTGAAACATGAAGATATACTTCAACTTAAATGGCATAGTACTAACTGTCACAAGCCTAATTGGATTCCTTTAGTCTTATTTCAGACATCACAAATTATTGAAATAAAATATGTATATATATATTTATGTGTTTCTTTATGTAAAATAAAAGAAATAAATGATGGCAGCTGATCTTTATATGAATAACACTTACATTACCCCTCAAATTACCAACTTCATTTTATGCTGTTCATTATTGGTTAGATCCAAGTTTTGTATTATATTAGGTAATTTTATGCTTTTGCATGTTACAACAGTCAGTGCAAAGAACTGTTTAAAAAAAAACTGGTTGAAATCTCTCATATTCCGTGTAAAATGCATAGGGAACCCCTGTGGTAATTAGTGTGATTAATTTCTTCATGACTAATTTTGTATGTATTATTTTATGTGACTCACACCTTATCATGACTGTAATCAACAGAGTTTTGGACCCACAAGTGACCTGATGCATAAATATTTTAGAAAAGTTTTTAAAAAAAAACATTGGGGTGATATACACTTCCATCATTAATTTTAGGGTTAAACAGTTTTTTGTTATATATCTATTTTGTTATGTTTCATTGTGTTTGTATCTAACCAAAGAAAAACTTTCACAATATTTCAGATACAACTTGACCTACAGGTTCGAACAGAGAGCTATGATAGCTGCAATGTTTTAGCCTTACCCAGTAAAAAAGAAAAGATTAAAAAAGCTGTAGTAACAGAGAAGCCTTCCAAAAGACCACTATCAAAAAAGCAACAAAAGAAACTTGAGAAAATTTTAGAAGCAAAGAAAAAGAAATCAAATGTAAGTTGAACTTTAAACGGTATCATGTTATAATTAACTATGAAATATATCTTAAAGGCAAAAATAATTAGTTTATCTTGTTAAAAGCTGTTTACTTCAGCATGTATAAATTACATCTCTTGTAAATGCTAGCTTAGGAAGGAGTTAAGTTTTACTAAAATGAAGTAGCCTTTTGACTCTGTGTTTGCCCGACAACAGAAGAAGCAGGCTTTCAAATTGTCTTCAGTTATTTACTTTCACACAACATTTAGATACCTTAGATAATTTGACCCTTTAGAGATATTCTAAGGTGAAACATTGAAATATTTTTACTTCGTTTTTTGTACATATTCCAAGACCAAAAACTGAGATGTTTCCCTACTTTAGAGGTATTCCAAGACTAAATTCTGAGGTATTTTGGATTCTTCTTTAGAGGTATTCTATGAAAAGGCTTCAGATCATTTTGGTTGTTTTTAAGAGGTAGGATAAGACAGAACAATGAAACATTTTTGAATTTCCCCTACATATATCTAAAACAAACACTCAAACATCTGTTTGTTAAATTTACTATGACTAATCATTTTCAACCTTTTGATTTTTATTAAATTGTGTATGTAATGACAACAATGTGAATCTTGAAGAGCCATTCTTAGAACAATTTTACAAATTGTTGTTTACTGACAATCAGGTAACAGGTAAAAAAAACTGAAAGCTGGTGAGTTACAGGCCTCATTTCCTGAAGTACAACTAATGTATCTTATAATTACCTAGCTCTCTAACTCTATTGGGTGAAGAATTTTGTATAACTTATGTAGATGTAAAACAAGTAGCTTTTTTTTTACATAATTTCAAATGTATCTTCTACTTTTTATAACAGAGATCTCAGCTTTTTGAAGAATTACAAAAAGTTCAAGCAACTCAAGATGAATTGGCTCTACTGACATCAACAGCTTTTATGCAAACAAAGGGGTTAAAGAGGTATGTGAAACCATGTATGCTGTAGTGAATTGTAGATTAGGTTAACCCAAATAACTACCTATTTGATATATGCTGTTAGTTTTGGGGGCCAAAATAAAGACTTTTCTGGTAATATGCACAAACATTTATTTTGTGATACTGTGACAAGGTTTATGTTCCTAAAAACTTGAGTTTCAAAACATTTTCATGAAATCTAAGATAAAACTCTAATATTCTGCTTAAGAATAATAATTATTGGTAACATGGCATGGAGATCTTGATTAGAGGTCCACAGGAAGACATCCATTCATTACATTTTATTGATATTTTGGAAGGTGATGTAAAAAAAGCTTCTTCTTCTTTAATCTAAGTTTCTTGTGTGTTTTATTTATTTGTTTAAAATGTTGTTATTTTGTATGCATTTAGTGTGTACACATATTTGGAAAGGGTAAAGAGTTTGTACTCTTAATGATATGAAGAGTTGCATCCCCCCCCATAAGTGTTCATATGAATGTAAATTTGTACAAAATAACATTATATTTAAATAGATAACAACACATACTTTGAGGTTTTTCAATTTATCTTAGTTTGTAAATTGCTTTTTTGACTTCTGAAAGAGATTGCTTTGTATAGAATTCTTTATGAAATTTCTGTCCCTTGTCATTGTAGGATGTTATATCAAAATTATCTTTAGAGTATTTTAATTCTTTAATGAAACATTAACTTATATGATTTGTTTGCATTATAGAAATTGTCATGAATTAGGAATTGATTCAAAATTCCAAAATGATGTTAAGATGAACAGCATAAAAGGAAGCAAGCCCTTTAAAGAAAGACAGAAAAGAGGAAGAATGGAGAATGCTAATGTGGTGGGAATTGATGTCAGTAGCAGCAGTGAAGGGTCAGATGTGGAAGATGTTGTAAATGAAGGTAATATTGAAAGCAAACAAGATCAGTCAAAAGATGAATCCCATATTGAAAATGTTACACCTATGTTGACTGAAGAAGTTTATAAACAGAACAAAAACAAAGAAGTTAGCAAACAGGTTCAGTCATCGCAAGAATTGTTGGAAGAAAAACAACTAAAAGGGCCAAAGAAAGAAAATGATGCTTCATCTACTCCCCAAAACAAACCAGCCATCTTTGTCACTCTAAACAGATCTCCAGAGATACAGGTGAACTGCTATTTAATTTTACAATTTACAAATTTAGGTGATTGGTTATTACAGTTTATATATAATTCAGGTGATGATTTACTTATTAGTGCATCAATTTTAATTATTAGTTATTTCATAAATTCAGGTAATTAGTTATTTGTTTATAAATTTTAATGATTGGATATTTGTAAGTTGAAAAAATGTAATGATGAAATATTAATCACAATTTCAGCAGAGCTATAATTCTTCCATGTAATTATAGAAGACAGTCTAGAAACCTTCCAAATAAAACTGTCTAGAAATCATAAAAGGCAATTTAGAAACCTTTCCAATTAACTGTACAGAAATAATAGAAGACATTCCAGAAACCATCCCAAATATATAGAAATAATAGAAGACTGTGTAAAAACTTTCTAAATAATGTTGTATAGAAATCATAGAAGACAGTGTAGAAACCTTCCAAATAACACTGTACAGAACATAAGTACCCTGAGATGTTGAGAATATTGCCTTGATTTTCCAAATAACATTGAACAGAATGGCACACAAAAGCAGTTCTTGAGATTCCACTAAATTATACAGTCACATTTTCTCTACTCTCTATGTATAGCAGTTTGCAGATGTTTGAGTCAAATACTTTTGTTCTCTTTTACATTCTTTTTTCAAGATGTATTTAGGCAGTGTATTGGAACTCTATTTTTTGCATGAGTTTTCTTTACGTCTTTCTGTTATTAAAAAATGTATAAAATTTGTAAAATGAAGGACTATTACAGTCTCGTCAGTTAGATGATTGTTGTTGTTTTTTTTTGTTCATAAGTCGTGTGTAAATTTTCATTATGTGTTTTTATCTTAGGCTGCGCGTCTTGCATTACCAATTCTGGCAGAAGAACAAGTCATCATGGAAGCCATTAGTGAAAATCCTGTGGTTATTCTTTGTGGAGAAACAGGATCTGGAAAGACAACACAAGTCCCTCAATTTCTATATGAAGGAGGATATGCTAGGTGTGCAAACATGTGATTCATCACTATAAATAAATAAGTTGGGCAGGATACACTTAGAATAAAACGTCATTCATCACTATAAGTAGAAAAGTTGGGGAGGATAAACTAGGTATAAAATAACTAATTTGATTCATTGTTATAAATAGAAAACTTGGGCAGGAAACATTTTCCCCTGAATATTAAATCTGAAGTTATATATTAATCTGAAAATTTTGGTCTGCTTAACCCTTTAGCAACAGGTAGGTCAAAGTGTGCATGTCACAAACTTTAACAGAGTTGTGCTTGTATATTATCAATATTATTTAAGTTTTAAATTCTGTTGAAAAAGATTCAGAAGGTATTGTATGTATTGCTTTTTCTATCAGGGTGAATCTGTTAACTTTAGCTGTCGTAAATTTCATCACTATAAATAGAATAGTTGGGAAGGATACTTTAGGGTTAAAAACTCAATTCATTAAAATAAATAGAAAATTTTGACAAGATATGCTGGGTATCAAAACACACTTGATTCACTACAATTAATTAAGTAATGTTTTTTTTTATGAACCTGCTTGGTCTTTGTTATTTGCTTTTTTTGTTCTTCATTTAAATCTGCTTGTGAGTGTATCAATGAAAGAAGTTGGATGTTTATTTATATTTTTTTTTTTTGCAAGTAGAGAAGGTCTTATTGGAATTACAGAACCCCGTAGGGTGGCAGCCATCACTATGTCTCAGCGCGTTGGTATGGAAATGAATCTGTCCAGTCAGGAAGTTTCCTACCAGATTCGATTTGAAGGAAATGTAACAGAAAACACAAAAATCAAGTTTATGACAGATGGAGTTCTGTTGAAAGAGATTCAGAAGGTATTGTACATATTGCTTTTTCTCTCAGGATGAATCTGTTAACTTTAGCTGTCATTATAAGTTCTGTTGAATGTCTTTAGTGTGATTATAAAAGTACTAGGAAATCCAAAGCTCATGTAATTTTGGAGCTTCAGACCTTGAACACCATAAATCAAAAACGTCAAATATTGTTACATTTTCTTATACATACAGTAATATTGATTAATTTTAACACAAAAAAAGATTAATTGGGTTGGAGTTTGAAAGAGTAAAAGGTGTTTGTGAGTTAATAATGATTGCTTCTTTAATTTTTTGATCCAAAATAAATTATTTGTTAGATATACACAACTGTTTCAATTTAAGTGTAGTGTGAGTGTTATATTTACTTATTTCTAGAAGCGATAATTTATATCACGTTTGTTTATGCGACTGTTTTCAAATCATATGTTGTGTAGTTTAATTGTTGTAATATTGCATCATATTACTAGAACCTTCTTAAGTTTTCTCGTTGTTTCAATTGAGTATTATTGCATCACAATATCTCGTAGTGTGTGGAACATTCTAGGCCTCTGTCAGGCTGTAAATACACATCCAAAATATAGCTCACATCAGTTAGTTCAATAGATATAGATAGATCTAAAAGAGTGTATAGTGATGATTTTTAAAGTGAAATTATCACAGATTGCATCATAATAACAGAGTAGAGAAGAAATATTTGTCTTGTGAATTTTGTTCTAAAGTAATTGAACCAGCCTTTGTGGACTTGATGAAGAATAAACAATTATTTAAGGCACTGGATACAACTGTGGTAAGCAACAGTTATAGTGTTGATTTCTAATACGGTACTTACCTCCAATCACATAAATAGCTATTTTTGTTCAGTGCTGCCCTCTATATGAAAAAACATTTTTTTCACATGCTACAAGCCTTGAATCTCATACATCTGGAATGGACTGATTCCAATGCGTCTTGCATGCAAATTATCATGCGACAACCTTCCACCAATAAAAAGTGCAACTTAGTCTCTTGATGCATGTGACCCCCTCTATTCAATTCTACTGAACTATCACTTCTCGTTTAGCAGTACTCCTGTTCTGGTGTTTAGTTTGTGCTCTCTTCCAGTGTTTTGTTTTAATTTTTTTCAGTATCTTTGTATTAATTTTTATCAACAAGTTTAGTCTTTATTATACAATATTGATATTTGTAACTTGTTGAACTATTCCAAAGTGGAATTATTTTGTATTTATACTCAGTTACGGAACTTTTTATTTCATTATGAAAACTTTTTCTTTGTTTCTGCCAGCGCAGTTGTGTTTGGTTGTTCATTTTGCATTATGAATTCTATGTTATCACTTCAGAGGTTATATGTTCTATTCACACATTTACACTGGTTTAGGTCACGGTACTCTGCGGGAAGATTTTCAGCTTTATTTCATTGGGAGATTGATCGTCCAAGAAGCTGATATTCCTCAGGCCTCACCTTGAGTTTGGGGGCTCACACATTTTTTACATACAGTCTGCCAACTTTGGAAAAATAAGATGCTATACTGTTATGGGTTTTGAATACATTTAATGGAAGTCCCTTAGTATCAGTGGTATAGGAGAAAGGATACAACTAAGCCTAATTTCTAACCTGAACTGAACTATGAGTATCAACTAAACTAACAAAAATTATATTATAAAACTCAAATAACTACAGATAATATTATACATCACGTCTTATACACAAGTTATTGTTCATACACACTTATTTCATTTTATAAATTCACATTTATTTCATTTTTGTTATTATACTTAATGTTAGGTTGAGATTTTTAGTTTAGAGATTAGTGATATCCCTTGTCCTGCACTGTTCATTTAGGCTTAACATGTGTCTGTTATTTTCAGTTTACTTGTAGATCTACTTGGAGGATTATCACAAATTACGTTAAATATCTTATCTTAGACTTAACAAGTGTCTATAAAATTCTTACCATTCAGTTCGTTTAATTTATACTTTATACATATTACCCTTAATATTGTTTGTATCGGCCCTTGTGGGCTGAGATCCACCCTACCTGCTCCCAATATTACTCATGTTCCTCCTATAACAACTGAACCCATTTCAGACATCCCAGATTTTCAGTTTTCTTCCAACTTATCATGGATTGCATTCCAGGCCTCTACTGCAGAATCTGCTTGGCCTATTTCAGTTGTTGTTGTTTTAGACACATTTCACAGTATATTCCCTTCTTCTGACATTTTTTCTTTATGATCTTTTTGTCTCTTGAGATTGGGTACTTGCACATCTTGTCATATACAGGCTTTAATTCTGTTTGTCTTAGCTTACTATTAGGCAGATTTTCTTCTTGGTTTTGTGGCTTTCAGATCTCTGTTACTCCTTTCCATTTTTTCCTATCTAGTTTTTCAGTTTCGTTTTACCCTATCTACTCTCTTAAGGGTAATGTTTACCTTCCACTTCCTTTCTTAGGTGTTACACCTATATTTAGGGATTTTCATGGGATACCTCCTCGTCCTTTCCTCTATGTTGGGGGGGCTTGCCATCTTCTGTTCTTTCCCTCCACGTGTGGCTTCTTTCTTTTTGGGAACTTCTTAGATGGGACACTGCTGTTTGTTTCCTGTCCACTGCTAATAGGGAATCATGGTCAGATATTTTTCTCCACCAGTTCATTTGGGGGGGGGGGGGAGGTTCTTGTGAGCATTAAGTGTCACTTGAGGTATTTGCCATGCTATATTAATTTTGTTTTTGTTTCATTCCATGATACTGCAATTTCCTCTCCTTTACCTGTCCTACCTGCAGGTTTTCTACATTCATCTTGTATGCTTGATGCTGTTTGGGGTTCGCGATTAATCAGTCTCATTTAAATCACTTCTTGGGTGTTCCCTGTTTTCATATGTAGTCTTTGATCATATTTGGGTTTGCTATTTTTGCATGTTGGGGTATGCCCACATTACACATTCTTATTTTCCATTTTTAGGGATGCTATTGTAGGTGATTTGATCCCAATTTTACCTTGCCCTTTGGACTTGTCTGGTACCATATATCTTTTGTGATTTGGTCTGCATTTTACCCAACTTCCACTTTTTGGGGGTGATTTTACCTGCACTATTCATTGGATGTATAACTTTGGTTAGCTACTTCTGAATGGGGGTAGTCTTCACATTTTTACACACCCTTCTATCAGGACCATCCATTGATTTTCCTCTTCTTCTGTACGAGTTGATATATTTTCATCTCCCCTATGATGCCAGGTTTCCTGCTTACTTCCCCTCTTCTGAATTGTTTCTCTTCCCTGATCCACATCTTCATTGGTTGGGGATGTGGTTCAATCTGCAGGAGGCTTCAGGATGATGATCTCCAGGCGAACAGTCTTATTCCCTTCACACCCTGGCACTTCATCCAGTCCAAGATGTTCTAATTTTGTCTGGATTTGACTAATTATGTTTCATTTTGACTATTCAACAGGGGTGGCTTCTATCATTTACCAAGGGTATATTATTTCTTGTTCCTTTTGTGGTAGACAGTGGATCTCCCTTTTTGAACAAAAACATTTCACGTGCATCTCCTAGAGAGTCATGTTCCAGGTTTTTGTTCTCATTGCTCATTGTCTTTCCTGTCCTATCACATTTTCTCCTTAGGAATGACCTCTCGATTCCCCAAATTTTTGATGGCTCTACCTTCTGTAGGGTACTCTTTCACATGAAGTTTTGAGTTTTTTATCAATTGCCAAGTAATTCCCTCTTTTGTTTTTGGCTTCTAGTTCATCATCCCCTTGCCATGGCCATCAATATTTTCAGACAGGATTACATTCAGTTTTTTCACATTAGTTTTGCTCTTCAGTTTTTTTTTTTCCAAAATGTTTGTTCATCCATGTCACTCTGGTTCAGGTCTTTCTAATTGATTTCCTGGCTGGCACAAATCTAGGTTTCTCTGCTGTTTCGGCTCGATTGTTTCCTTTGTTCTGGTTCATTTTTATTTACCTTTTATTCACCATGGCTCATGTGGTATATTCCTTTCGACTTTTCCATTTCTTACCATCTTCCACATTTCTTCTTGATTGACTCCAGATGGCCTTATTGGTCCAGTACATGCTCTGGGTTGCTTCATTGTTTTCAAGGTTTTTCCCTTGAATCCATCTCCCATGATTTCCTTCCCTTACTCCACTGCTTTGTCTGTGGTTTTTTTTCCTTTCTCCCTGAACCATTGGGTTTGAATTGTGAGTCAATTGGCATTTTATTCCTTGTATCCTTCTTCTCATCATTCAGTCGTCATGTCTTCATTCAGATCATGCACCTCATCTTTTCCCTGCATATAAGCCATGTTGTCCTTTGGAGGTACTTCGTCTGTCTTCTGTTCTTTATTTTGTTGGGGTACCGTCATCCACCTGTTGCCATCCTTAAGTTTTTTGTGAGACTGTGACTGGGTAAGTTACTTTTTAGTATATTTATATATACCTCTTATTTGCGGGGGCATCTCCCTCTCTTTTTCTTTATGGATACCACTCTGTGGTGAGTGGTGGCTTTCCAGGTATGCTCAACCCTTTTGAGATGGGTCACAGGTGAAAGGCCATGTCATCTCATTTGTTGATTCGCATTTAAAGTTTTATTGAACTACTATTTCATGAATTTATGTCAATAAGCTTGGTATCAAACTGTAGATTATAATTCAAATTTTAGGACTATACATTACTCAATTTCTTAATTTAAAAGTAAATATTAAAAACACAACTGATAAACATCAATTTTTTTGTGTCACGTGGTATGTTGAATGCAGCACTGGATCAAATTAGATGTTTGTGAAGTCAAAATACTAAGTCTATAGTTTTATATGAATTAGAAACTCAAGTTACAGATAATGACAAGCTAGAATAAAAATAAGAAGGTCTTTTCTATTTGCTAAAATATTGCTCATGTAATAAATCGAACACAGTGGCACCCAACCCACCTCTTTCCATTTTTGGAAATGCTCCCTTATATACACTTACTTCGAAATATGACATGAACAACCAATCGAAAGCTCAAAATGTCCCCTAGTGGTTTTCTCAGCCTTTCTAATGTGGCTAGCACCATTTCTTTCTTTTGAACCTAGATTTCAATGAGGTAGGTTGTGTCTTTAGTCTACTCAAAATTTAGTATTTTTTTTTAAGAGTAAAATACATCTTAGTTACAAAGCTTGATAAATTATAGTTGAATTTTATGGTTTTGATGTAGTAATTTATGATTTTTTAGTTATTCAAATGTATATATAAAACCTAAAAAAAATATTTTGTTTCATATTCTCCACGTGCAAAATTTGTAAAGGCTTAGCAACTGAGTACAAAGGTTGTAACTAGAAGAGATAATTGTTTGCTTTACTTCTTTATTTGCTGTTCTGTGTTTTAGGAAAAATATGTTTAATAACTTGTTTCAAAATAGCAATAATCTATATACACATATAATGTATAGTAATTGAAATGTGAATGTATTTTACAAAATACTAATCGACTAAAACACAGTGAAGACAAGTTACTTTGTACAGATGAAAGGTCAGTTTTATGTTATTTGATACAGTAACATCTGTGCACATGAGCCATGTCATTGTAACTTCTGTATTGTTAGCCAGGCATGGTTGATAGGTCAATATAATAAAAAATGATAAATATATATATATAAATGTATTATGTTATGAGATTTAAGCTATTCCGTCTAAACATTTATGTTTTCGTGTTATGATTTGTGTTCATTC